CCACCAGTCGACGACGATTCAAATGGCATTTTATATAGTGAAGTGGAAGAAGCAATAAACAAGCTGAAGAAAAACAAGAGTCCAGGCAGCGACGACATCACGGCCGAAATGCTTCAAGCGGGAGAAGAAAATCTGAAACGTAAAATGCATGAACTGTGCAATAGAGTATGGAATGAGGAAAATATTCCTGATCAATGGGGGAGATCACTCTTAATACCAATCCCTAAAAAAGGAGACCTCAGTCAATGCTCAAATTACAGAACAATCTCTCTCATTAATCATACAGGGAAAGTTCTACTCATGGTGTTACTCAATAGACTGAAACATCATCTGGACCCATACATGTCAGAAGAACAGGCTGGGTTCAGAAAGGACAGAAGCACCGTCCAGCAAATGTTAATACCCAGACTTCTAGCAGAAAAAGCAAAACGCAATAGCAAGAAAATCTACAATTGTTTCATTGATTTTCAAAAAGCCTTTGACACAATCAAACACAAAATCATATGGGCAGTTCTCAGATCGTATGGCGTAGACAACAAGGTGGTAATATTATTACAAAAGATATATGGAAAGTCTCGATCAGCAGTTCGGTTAGGAATGGACCTTGGTGAATGGTTCCAATCAAGCGTTGGAACCAGACAAGGAGACCCCCTTGTCACCACTTCTGTTCATTGCCTATCTGGAAAGAATAATGGATCAAGCAACATCAAAAAATCATGGAATCAACGTCGCTGGAACAGTTATCAACAACCTAAGATTTGCTGATGACATTGATCTTCTAAGTGAAAATCATACATCACTACAAGATCAAATTGAGCAACTCACACAAGCGGCAGAAGAAGGTGGACTTATGGTGAACATTAAGAAAACAAAGACAATGGTGTTTGGTGATAAAAATATTGATCAACAAGTCAAAGTCAACGGCGAAACAATCAAAAATGTAGAAGAATTCGAATATCTGGGGAGCTTGTTAACATGGAACAACAATTGCTCGAAAGAAATAAGAAGAAGAATCACCAAAGCAACTGGTGCAATGACAAATATGAGACATATGTGGACCACTGGGAAACTAACGATCGAAAGTAAGATAAAGCTTTTGACAACGTGCGTTTTTAGTGTACTACTCTATGCCTCGGAAACATGGACACTAAAAGAAACTGACAAACAAAAATTATTGGCTTTTGAAATGCGGTGTTATCGAAGAATACTTCGAATCCATTGGATGGACATGGTACGGGACATCGATATACGAAAACAAATTGGTGCTCATGAAACAATAATAGATGTCATCAAAAAGCGGAAACTAAGACTTTTTGGACATATATGCAGGATGGACAACAACAAACTCCTGAAACACATCGTTTTCTCTCGAATAAATGGAAAATCAAGAAGAGGATGACCATACAGGGAATGACTTGATGATATCACTGATTTGTGTAGCCACAATTGTCGAGATCTGGCCCACCTTGCGCAGAGTAGGTACCAATGGAAGAATCTCATCCGTACGGTGGTTGGCTCCAACGGGCATTAAGCCTATGGGACATAAAGATCAAGATCAAGAATCTATCACCGAAAATATATATTGGCGAAAACTATTTTCTTTCTCTTGCGTTCTGTTTTTTGTTCTCGGATGCTACTATAAATAGACAATAGATTCTACTCATTACTTGCATTTCATTTTTCAAATTCTAAGTCTATACACACATATAACTATTTGTCTTTATTAACTATTATAAACAATAAAAGAAATGTTGTCTATTGAAATTTCTTTTTTGCTTAAAAATAACTACTAAAAGAACTAAAAAAAATGCTATTATACCAAATGGTTTGAGTGGAGATGAGGTGGAATCATTTGAGTCTAAAGATGAAATGAATAATGTGACACTTGCTTTACGAAACGAATTGAATATGAACGAAAAATCTTCAACAAGTGAAAGTAATAGTGGAGAAAGTGAAGAAAAGATCGAAAGTAATCGAAAATTGAAAAAGAAAAAAAGAATGCATTGGGTCAAAAAAAATTGCAGCTACAGCAGCTGATTTTGTTGGCAATATGCCACCACCACCTATTCATGATGAACTACAACCGATCGACTATTTTTATTGTATATTCGGCAAGCAATCAACAACACTCTTGACAAATCAATCAAATCTATATTCTGTTCAAAAAAATCCTAACAAACCGGTACGTATTTCTGAAACAGCGATGGAACATTTCATTGGTATATTGTTGATGACAGGTATTTATTCTTTTTCAAAACAACGTTATTTTTGATCCAGTGATACACGTGTTGAGTCTATATCTTCGGTTATGAGTAGAGATCGATTTCTTCAAATCAAAAAATATTTACGTGTTACCGACAATTCAGTTCAGTCAAATCGAACAGATATAAATTTTGATCGAGCCAATAAAGTTCGTCCATTATTAAATATTGTAAAAGAAAATTTTAGGAAAATTTCAAAAGAACAAAAATTAAGCATTGATGAACAAATTATTCCATTTAAAGGCAAAAGTATAATGAAGCAACATATGCCGAATAAGTCGAATCGTTGGAGTTATAAAATGTTTCTTTTAGTTGGTGGCAAAAGTGGTATATGCTATGACTTTATTTCCTATACAGGTAAAAATGATAAAAAGAAGCATGGATTTTGTACAGATATTGTATTGGATCTTTGTGAAACTGTGTCAAGTTTTACCAATCACAAAGTATATTTTGATAATTATTTTGCAACTATTCATTTACAGGTAGAGTTGAGAAAGTTAGGCATTTTTGCAGTTGGTACGGTAAGACCAAATCGATTAATTGATTTAAACATCAAAAGTGAAAAAGATTTATCAAAAGAAGGTAGGGGTACAATGGATCATCGTGTCACAGACGTTGAAGGGGTGCAATTATGCGTGACACGATGGTATGATAATAATGTTATTAATTGTCTTTCTACATTGCACGGTTGTGAACCGATTGAGTCAGCACAACGATAGTCATCAAAACAAAAGAAACATATTCTCATAGAACGACCGAAGGTCATACAGGCGTATAATGGACATATGGGAGGAGTCGATTTAATCGACATGTTAATTTCTTAGTGTCGAATAAATGTTGGTTCTAAAAAGTATTATATAAAAATCATCTTTCATCTTATTGATTTGTGAGTTGTCAATGCATGGTTATTGTACCGAGGCCACTGTTGGCAGCTAAAGCTTCCAAAAAAGGATATAATGTCTTTATTGAATTTTCGCATAAATATTGCTACTGTTTTACTTAAATCTAGTCCACCACCACCTATCATAAAACGTGGTCGACCATCATTAGAATCAAAATTAAATGAAAATAATTCAACAACAATGTCACGAGCTACATCAACTTCAGCTCCACCTTCAAGTACACGATTTGACAAATATGATCATTGGCCTACAATAACATCAAAAGAACGTTGTCGAAATAATGCCTGCAATGGCTATACAAGAATATCCTGTTCCAAATGTAAAATTCGTTTATGCTTGAACGAAAAAAATAACTGTTTTACTAATTATCATAATTAATGCATCTTTTCTGAAGTGATGAGCCTGCCGGAGGCGTCTTCGGACGTCTACAGGGTCCCACTTTTGCTCGCAAAAC